TGTAAAAGTTTCTATCCATACGTAACAATGAAGTTAAAATAGAAAATGTAGTACCATTCTTACTAATAGATAGTTATTTATTTTTATTAATTTTTTTTGACAATTTTGGTTATATTTTTCTTTAAAATAATTATTGCGTTGATTTTATTTTTAACATTTATTTTTAATTTTAAAAGATCAGAAAATTTATGTTAAAAATTTAAATAATAGAAAAAAATATTTATTTAACTTTTATCATCATCAATACTTCTAATTTATTTGACGTTTTTTCTTAATCTTCATCTCATCATTAATGTTATTTATATAATTTTCTTAAATCACTTAATTTTTCTTTTTTAACTCTTTTATATATATAAAGTTGGATATGTAAATGATGATGTGACATTTCTTAGAAGCTAAGATTACTATTTATCTAATTTCTAAAAAAATATTACAAATCATACAACAATAATTAGCAATTTAGAATGTTAAAAGACATAAAAATTTTTTTACCATAGTTAACAATAATTAAAAATTTATACTATTTTAAATTAATATTAAAGTTTGATTAACTATTTAATTTTGTCTTTGTCACATAAATTGAAACAAAAAATGATTCATATTGATATTGGGCCCGTGCTAGCACAGGCTCCGATGTCTAGTTATTTCAATATCCCATAACCACATTCAATACATTAGAAATTAATTGGATATAACTGTAAATGGAAAATGAATCACGATTTAAGGAAAATAAATGTTTGCAATACCATAATAATTAAGGAGAGAGTAAGATATTATTTTAATATCCTAATTCGGAACTTTTAATCTACTACTCAATTAAAAAGAAAATGCATTTAATAACATTAAAAAGTTATTAGTGTAATATTTTTTGTCATTCTAGTAATTCAATTCAATCAAACTTAATTTTAAAGATAAAATAACATTCTCTATTTTAATTGTTATCAATATATTTCAAAAAATTATCGTGAAAAGGCTTTTCTTGCATCTTATTTTAATTTTCATATACTATTATTATTTTTTCTGTCATTTTTCAATGATTTTTTATTTCGATTTAAAATTTAATGTTTATTCTTAAAACTCTGATGGTAGAAATTAAGGTGGAGTAGAATATAATAAATGATGATTCTTCTACTAAAGAAGAAGATATAACGAAATTGAAAGGGTGATATTTTTTTTTTTAAATGGATAGGAAATTCTATTAAGGTATCATTACGTCATTATTCAATATATTTTTAATATAAATTTCATTTGTTGATGCATTTGTTTAGTACTCCCTCTGTCCCTAATTACTTGTTCACTTTTCCTTTTATAGTTGTCTCTAATTACTTGTCCATTTTGACAAATCAAGAAAGAACATTTTTTTACCTATTATACTCTCAATTAAATGACTAATTACTTTGAAAATTGCAGAACTTTTCATCTACTTCATAATTAATAGGGGTAAAATGATAAACTCACTATGTCATTAATTGATTTCTTAATAAATGTGTCAATTTAAAAGTGGACAGGTAATTAGGAACAGAGGGAGTATTACAGAAGGATGAACTTCATGCAATGGAATAATTTGTTATTAGCAAATATATTTTAACTTATTTGATAAAAAATATATTCTTCCTCATTTAATAGATGTAAAATTTGTGAAGCTTTATTTTTTTCACAATCTTCATATTATTAAGACAAATAATAATATTACGATTAAACAACAAAGTAAATATAAAATTAATCAAAAATATTTAATTTTAATGCTCGCGTGAATTGCGGCCAAGTTCTCTAATTTAAAACAAAAAGGTAAAATTTAAATGGGTCTACAATAGAATTCCTAGAAATCCGACTTGAAAAATTATAGTTAAAAATAGAAAAATAAAAAGTGAAATAAATTTAATTGAGAGTTATCCTTCGTCTGTCCCATTTTATGTGACACTTTTTATTTCTCGAGAATCAAATAGTTTAAGTTTGACCATAAATTTGCGTATGGTATCTTCAATTTTGTTAAAATGAAATTTATATATTTGTAAACTACGTAAAAATCAAAATATTATAATTCATAATAATTAATAATTCAAAATATTTTAAAATGTATGAAAAATTTAAGATCAAAGATAAACTAAAGAGAGTAAAAGGGGAGAATGGAAAGTAGGAAAAAAGAGAAAAAAATGAATATATAGAGAGAGAAACTGAGGGAAAAAAGTCAGAAAAATAATAATTCATGTGGGTTGTTGTATATGTAGAAAGACACGTGTACAATTAATGAGCCACAATTAATTTTATAGTACAATTTGAAATGCTTTGTGTACAACTTGGTAGTGCCGTGATCGTCCTCTAAAGTCTCACTTCTAATCAAAATCTTTAAATTGAGACAGTTAAAGTAATATATATTTGGAGCTATTGTGTCTGGTAACTGTATATATATGTATGAGTATAAAAGGTAGTACACATGTCTTCAATATAGTGAATGATCAGATAGCTGGCGACATATAATACTTCTATTTATTCAAAGTTAATGTACAATTCTTTTTGCACGCTGTACAACTAATTTAATAAAGTTAAAAGTTAATGTAGAAAAATTCTTTGCACGTTGTACAACTAATTTAATGTAGTGTTAGTGTACAACTAATTTAATGTAGTGTTAGTCCTTTTAACTGTCATTTCTAAATAAGAGTAATAAAATATTCTGATGGTCTTTAGACCTTTGAAATTCTGATGTTGAAATGCAGATATAAAGAAAAATTTATTTTGTACCAGGCACACTTATTGTCAGTTGTATGAGGGCCTCTTTGGCTGCCATTTGTATATTCTGGGACCCACTGGCTACTTTTTACCTATCTGAATTTCTTACTTTTTCTCTCCTTAAATTTTAATCTTTTCTCTTACTTTTTCTTTCTCATCACACATTGTCTTCTTTTTTCAGCTTCTTTTTAACCCTTAACGTAATTTTAACTTTAGTTTAATTAATTATTTTTTTCATTTTATTCTCTCTATTAATTTATTATTTTTTGTTCTCGAAATTCAAGCTATAAAATATTTTTTATAATATTAACATGACAAGAATTGCAACTAATAATATTTTAGGTTGAATTGCAACTTAGTGAGAAGGTTATATTTTTGAACAAACACTATAAGTTGCAATTCTTATCATGTTAATATAATATTTTTTTTTATTTAAAAATATCAATTAAATTTCACATAGCTTGAATTTCAAGAATAAACATATATCATATAAATTGAGAGAGTATGTATGTATGTAGGAGTTAATGGATGATTTTCGATTTTGGATTACATGAAAATAGAAACAAAACTTATGTAATTATTTGTGAAGATTACGGAAGGTCTTTCTGTTATATTTTCTTGTTGGAGAATATTAGATACATTTAAGTGTTTATGAAATTAGAAAATTATGAAACTATTGAGAAGAGAAAAAAAATTGATTTTATACTCTTTTCGTATTAGTTATTTTACTTTTTTTTACATATTCTTTAAGAAATTATTAATAAAAGTGATAATTTACTAATTTACTCTTTAAGATATTTAATTTTTTATAACTTTACAAATTTTGTTTATACTTTAAAACAAATAATTGCTAGGGTAATGAAAATTTAAAAAATGATAGTTTAATTTTGTTAATCGATAAATAATTTTAATAATTTTTTTTAGTAATTTATATAACTAATATAGGATAGAAAAATAATAGCAAATGTTAGGAGTATGATGAATTAGGCTAAATTTTATACTTTTAAAATTATTTAAAGATAAGGAAAATAATAAAATTTGAAATAATGGTCAAAACAAAACAAAAAGTGGAAAAGTTAAAATAAAGGGAAAAAGTTAAAAAGTAAGAGAGAGAAGGAACTTTGACCCATTTTTTTGAAAATGAGACCCTCCACGTGTTTAACAGCCAATTGAATTGGGCCAGAAAGGGAAAATTTTCATTGTACACTTTTAATTGCTTTTTGTACAATAATGGGATGCTGTGTTCGTCCCATCAAGTCCCATTTCTATATAGGAGTAATATACTAAATGAACCATATAGGAAATAAAGTCATAATTTCTTCTCATTTTATACAAAACTTATAAATATTTCAATTATCGATTCACCTTTACTATATGCTTAAACATGATCGCACAAGGGTATATTAGAGATCCCAATGCAACCATTTAAAAAGTTTTTAATTTTGTAATAATGGTAGAAGTGGTCTACTAAACTTAAATTAGTTCAAAAATAAATAAAATTCTCCAAGCCAACATAAAAAGTTAATACTATAAATAACAATCATGACAATTGACAAGAATCTTTTTTTCTTGACATAACCAACTAGTCATCATTTCTAATTATAAACAGCAAATTTAATATCGTTATTATAACTGTTACAAATTAATGGAAGAACCGCAAATAATGGTTATCCTTTAGTAATCCCCCATTAAACTCTTCCTAAACCTGCATGCCATTTCCCTCTTTTACAATACAATAAAGCCATAAAAAATTCATTAACCTTAAAATAAAAATAATCATCCCTTCTCTTTTTTTCATCTAACACATTTTTAACGGCTAGCCAAGGCGGTGAATTTTCTAAACCGCCATGGCAGCCTATTCTAAGGTCCATCAACCTTCACCAGAAATTTGATTAACGTAATCTAATTTGTATAATCATCGTTGTTGTTGTTGTGAAAACTTTCTTACGCTATTTGTTATTGTTGTTAAAAATTTTTTTAATTCTTGACGTACGTATCTGAATATTTGAGATGGGAGATATTAAAGTTACTCGTGCAAATCAAGAGAAACATATATCTTCATCATCGTCTAGTGAATTATCAGATCAATGCGAGGAATTACAACGTTTAGAGGATGCACCACCTTTTTGGAGGAACCCTAATAAGAAGTTATCAAAGCAACTTTCCATGTGTGAGATTCCACGTGACATTGCATGGGAAAAACGACGTCGTCAATTTCTTCATCAAGAGAGGAAAAAGAATATTATTGGAAATACTCAAGACGTTGATGCATATATAACTGATGAGGATTTGAATGAACTTAAAGGTTGCATAGATTTAGGATTTGGATTTAATGAAGAAGAAGGGCAAAGGTTATGTAACACCTTGCCCGCACTTGATCTTTATTTCGCGGTGAATCGTCAGTATTTAACTAGCCCAATCTCTTCACCGGGTAGCAATAAAGGGTCAATGTCATCTCCGGGTTCATTGAATTCTCTCGGAGGAAGGTCATCCTCTTTTGGAAGCCCTAGGAGTGATCACGTTGATGCATGGAAGATTTATAGCCCAGGTATTAAATTGTGTGATCATTTTATCTAAAAAATGAACGTTATACCGTATAGTGACTAGCTTTATTTTTATTTATATCTATATATTTCATATAATATAAATGTTGTGTAGGTGATGATCCTCAACAAGTTAAGACAAAGTTGAGGCATTGGGCGCAGGCAGTGGCTTGTTCTGTCAAGCAGTCTTATTGAAGTTGAAAGGGTGGTGATGAAATTAAACACCATGTTCTGACTATGTTTTCTATTCAAAGAAATTAATTTCCTCTTTCATCGTATTCACCGATTCAGACCTTGTATTTGAAATATAGTCATGACTTTTAATTTGCGGATGGACTGAGACTCATGCGCCAAATGATCAAAACAGAGCTACATAGTTGTAGGCGGTCAATTTCACCACTAGTTATGTTGATTCTCAATTTAGTTAATTGAGGCAACAAGGATTTAAGTTACATACAGTATTGATATGTAAATAATTTTATTCGTTGTTGGTGTATTTTGACCTTTATTGATGAATGCTTCTCCTTTTTTCTTAAAGAATTACCCATTGACGTTTATATAGATAAAATATTTGTTATTGTTATTTATTTGATTCGATAATGTAAAAAAAAGGCTTATTATCCACATTATTAATCTCCAATATCACTTGATGGCTGATAATGAAAGTCACGGCTAATATAATTTGGGAAAAAATGAAAAATATATTTCGAACTATCGTAAATGGTATTTTAATACCCTTCGTTATAATTTTAGGATGCTGATGTCCTTATTGTCCAAATTTCGGGGCGTATATACCTTTTCTATTAACGACGGGACACGTGTCACAATCTAAAATATTTACCTGATTTTTATTAAATTTTTACTCATTATTAAAAGATCCACCCATATTAATTAAAAAACCCCACCCAAATAATATAATACCCATACCCAAATTATAACCCAAAACCCTCAAAACACTTCTGCATCTTTTCCGTTTCTCGACCTCCGAATTTTGATCGAACATAATAAAATCATATTTCACTAATATATTTGTACTTTTAAAAAAATATTAATTTATAATATTAATGAGACCACATATTTATATATGGGTCTTCTGAAAATATATTATTTTATTATGTTACTGAAATGAGTGATTTTTTTCAATGAACCAAGTTAGAACAAAAAAAAAAGAGTATTATTTTAAAGAGATTATTAATTAATCGAATATTAATTTAGTAAAATTTAACCGTACACACGTTAAAATTTATATTTAGTGTAAAAACCCCTAAGCGTATTCGGCATTTTTAGGTTGACTCAAAGTCAAACTTGCAAGAACCCTTGCTCTTTTTTTCCTTTTATTTTGGCAAAACCCTTGTTAGGTCTCATTGTATAAATAGCAGAAGTTTCTAGCAAAGCCTAAAGTAGAAGAAACATACTAGTACTATCATCTCTCAGTTATGGCTCCTGATGCTACTGATGCTCTTGCAGGTTTTGATTCTTTTTACTTCTTTTTCTTGAAGTTTACTGCAAACATGTTGTTTTTTAATATATGTGTATGTTGAAATTGTTTTGAGCAGTTAGAGAAAAAGTTAATAAGTTTCTGAAGGCGGCTTGTTCAGGGGATATTGAGCTTTTCAAGAGTAAGTTTACAATTTCCTGTTTTATTTTGGGGGTTTCAGTTTATGCGATGCTATATAGTGTTGATCATTGTGAAACAGAGTTGGCAAAGCAACTGGATGATGGAAAAGGGTTGGCTGGTACGGTGGCGGATGTGAAGGATGGTAATAAAAGAGGGGCATTGATTTTTGCCGCAAGAGAAGGCAAGATTGAGTTGTGCAAGTATTTGGTGGAGGAATTGAAGGTTGATGTCAATGAAAAAGATGATGAAGGTATTTTCTAAACTACAGTAATAAAGTTGTATAAGCCTAATTTGAGTTATTGTTTAGAAGAAGCACCTAGTGGTTGAGACCCGTGACAAAAACATTAGGTGAATTCTTCCAATCTTTTCTAGCCTTGGTGAGCAGAGTTATCGGATGCCTGTTGCTGATGGGAGATGGTAAATATCATGTGAAATTAGTTGAGGTGTATGAAAGGTGTCCGAACACCGCGTTCATCAAAACAAAAAGTTATTGTTTAGAAGAAATTGGCTCTACAGATTGTGTTCTGATTGAAGTTCCTATCTTTTTACCTCTTTAAAGTTTGAGGGCATGTACCATTGGAAATTATATGTTTCCTTGTTTGTACAAAAATATTTGACAACATTGTAGTGCCTAACTGCGGACAATTCAAATATTTGAGTAGTCTTTCAAGAAAATGATATGATAGATGAAAATATAGTACATAAAATTAAAGTAGATATGAAGATACCTAATAATTGAAAGATAAGTTCTATAGAATAGTTGTGAGACCCATAATGTTATATGGGAATGAATATTGTACTTATGATGCGCTCGACTTGTCAACAAAATGAGAATCATAAAAATGCCAATGTAAAATTAATGTGCAGTCATACAAGTTCAGTTAAAATTAGAAATAATCACATTATGCAGTTAGTACACATCAATAATAAAATGAGAGAAGGACTTTTGTAATGGTTTGTATGTGTCCCTATGCAGGCCCCTAAATGCACCTATGTAGGTGTGATAGTGTGATGATTGAAGTGCTAAAAGGGGACAAGGTAAAACTAAAATTACAAGGGTGGGAGTTATCTCAAATGACCTAAAATATCAAAGAATCAATGCGAACTTGGGAATTCAAAACAATAGATGCAAATAATACCTATAAGTAGTACTAATTCAGTGTGGTCAAGCATATGATTTAGGGACCCTCTAATTTTGAAAACCCTTAATTTGCTTTGAAAGAAAAATTATTCTTCAATATAGGAATGGTGGACTCAAATACAGCGGAATATATGGAGGATTCACATTATTGCTCCCAATTTATTTGATTTTGAGGCTCTTATTGATTGGTTGATTGATATGTGCTGAAAGTGATATTTCTGTAAACTGATTTGAATATGTTGTTCATCATAGGTGAGACTCCTCTTCTTCATGCTGCTAGGGAAGGACACACTGCAACTGTCCAGTACCTCATAGAACACGGTGCAGATCCTGCAATACCCAGCGCCTCGGGGGCAACAGCTTTGCATCATGCTGCAGGAAATGGTAGGTTCTTCCTCTTGTTAATAGAAGTGACTGAAGCTTCTGTTTGTGCCAGGGAAAGATTCCTGGGTTCATATGCATTTAATTGCCGTAAGTTTTTGGCTCTTGTACACTGAACTCTTCTATTTAAGGAGTTCCACATTTTTAAATAAAAATGTTTGACAAACATGCCAATATATATATCTTTTTTAAATTTTAGTTGTTTGATATTAATTGATGGAACTTTTGGGGGATAGAAATTGTTTGGATGCTAGGAATATGAAAGAAAATTGTATTGAGAATTTGTCATATTATATAATATGCAAATTTCCTTTTTAGCAAAGTTGACATTATTATTGAATCACCTAATAATAGTATAGTGACCCATGTTTTGGGAGTAAAAACTAAGAACTAAATCCGTTCAACGAATTGGTCAAAGTTCTTATCATAAGCTAATAAACACAGATCAGGCAAGGAAATAAGGCTATGATCGGCACTTCAGCAGTAAGAAGCAGAGATGGATAGGGCGGGGTTTGCTATGTTTTCTATTTGCTTCACACTTTTCAGCCTTTCAGGTCACATTTATACTTTCAACTGTTGAAAACCGAACTTTAGCCTCTATTTTGTTGGAACATCTGACGTTTCTTGCTTCATCACCTTTTCTTTCCCTTCCCTCTGTCAATGCTACATCATTTGTTCTCAATTGATGACTTGAAATAACCTTAGATTTCTAGAGCTTCAAAGAGCTGGCATAACTCAAGAACGTTATCTGATATTGTTATTTATGCAGGATTGAATCACTATATAAATAAAGATGTAGTAAGGAAGCTGTCTAATACTTCTGTGTCTCATTTGTTTGTTCTTCTCTACTGATGAAAGTGTATTACTAAGAAGATCAGTCTAAGTTAACTCTACGAGGAACATAAAATTTGGGTTGTTGGTCATATAACTAGCCTTTGCTGTGTTCATAACAAACACATTATGAGACATCTTCATCTCAAAATTTCATAATTGGTAGGAAGATTTTTTTTTCCCAAGCTGTTGAAGCTTGAAGATAAGCAAGACTAGTTCTGCAGGCTGGAAAAAGGCCATCTTCTCCTCCCCATTATACCAAAGGATGCATGTGCAGTTATATTTCCCCTGGATAAAACTTTCTTGTTTCTAAAGAAAAACTCTAAATGGCTGGAATCTAAGAAAGTGAATCTAGCTATTTCAGCAGCCATGTTCATTGTAGAGTATAGCTCTGTTGCTATTATAAGCTGCTCCCTCCATTTTTACTTTGAACTCATTCGTTTTACTTGACACGATGAATAAGAGGACAATTGAAGATAGCTGTTTCTTTACGCTAAGTGACGGAAGTTTGATGGGCTAATACTTGGATTTCGTTATCTGATATATGAATCTCAGAGAAGTGTATTTTTCGGCTTGATTTGAATTTTTGGGGTTGTTTATAAATGATGCATGAATGTTAAGGAAAACTTTAGAAAGGAGGTCCACGAGTAGAAACTATGCTTGACTGGAGAACATGATTAATTGCATGCAATTGAGTACTCACTATTACAGAATTCACAAAGAGGCAGACTGATAGCCTGTGGGGATCTCTGCTGCAATTTTTTAATCATCATAAGCATAGCTGTTCTGCCACAGTTTTTTCACTTAATCCTAACATTTTCTTTTTTTTCTTCTCTTCTAAGTAGTCTGAATGTGAATGGAGTGGGGTGTCAAGAACAGAAGCACATGTGAAAGGAAATTCCACAAATTCTCCTGAAATATATTTGCAGAATTTTGTAGAGAATCATATTTTGTAGATTCTTTACCTTTTGGTTTATCCCTTGTATACGTCCAACTTGGCCATGTTTATGAATGAAATACTTTTACCTTATCCAAAAAAAATAGTACTTGCAGATTTATTTCCTTGTTGGCACATAGTCTGAATCAGGGATCTAATCATGTTCTGATGGATATCAGTAGTTGAGATCGTTCTGATGGATATCAGTAGTTGAGATCTTAGTGTCAGCTTTAACTTCTCTATTGGTAAAACAATGAGAGAAATCAATCAACATGTCATTCCTTATTGCTTTATTGTTATTTATTGTGGTGTTGATGTGTGTAGCTACATGCACTCTTCAATTTATTTGTACTTCTTTACATAGAGTGACACTTCATTGTGCATTGTCTTTGTTTGCAGGACATGTTGAATTGGTTAAATTGTTACTGTCAAAGGGTGTAGATGTTGATTTACAAAGTGAGGCTGGAACACCGCTTATGTGGGCTGCAGGTTTCGGCCAGGAAAAGGTTGTCAAGGTTTTGCTGGAACACCATGCTAATGTGAGTGCTTTGTTACCTGTTTAAACCCCTCTTTCTCAATTTAACAATACCAGCCATTGTTTAACTGTTCTCTTGACAATACAATAAAGCCATAAAAATTTCATTAACCTTTAAAAAAAAAATCATCCCTTCTCTTTTTTCGTCTAACACATTTTTAACGGCTAGCCAAGGTGGTGAATTTTCTAAACTGCCATGGCAGCCTATTCTAACGTCCATCAACCTTCACCAGAAAACTGATTAACGTATTTGTATAATCTAATTTGTATTATCATTGTTATTGTTGTTGTGAAATTTTTTTTACGCTAATTGTTATTGTTGTTGTTGTTAAAAAAAGTTAATTCCTGACGTACGTATCTGAATATCTGGGATGGGAGATATTAAAGATACTCGTGCAAATCAAGAGAAACATATATCTTCATCATCGTCTAGTGAATTATCAGATCTATGCAACGAGTTACAGTTCTCTTGACAAAGTGGAAAGCAGTTGCATGGTTTTAGTATTTCCTATATAATTAAAGCTTCCTAGTTGGTCACTCAGTTCATTGTGGTTTTATAACAGGGAGAAAATTTTCAAACCTTGCCGTCACCCTTACCGATAAAAATTTCACCCCACCCCTCCCCTTCAAAAGAAAAAATGAGTCAGGCCACTGAGGAGGCATGTTGGTAAATAATAGAAGTATCCCCTCTCTAACATGTAACAACTAAAGATTTTAGATGAGGTGGTTCCACAACCAAACAAATCCTTGAACAGGTTTCTTGCACTGATGTATTCAAAAACCGGCCAATTAATAGATGTTAAGATGATACTTTTTCCCTTTTGCCAAACAGTGTAGAGTTGCCATTCCCAACCTGCCCACTCTTCTTTTCTCACCCCCTCTCCTCTTTTCTTTTTTCTTTTTTCTGTATTTGATAAAAATAATAATAAAAAAATTTGACTTGACTATCTTCTTTCATGCTTTTCTGTTTCAGTTAGGGTGTGTTCGGTATGGAGGAACATATTTTTGGGAAAATGTTTTCCAATTTGTTCATGTTTAGTTGGTCAAAACTTTTAGAAAATATTCTTCTTAGGAAAATAAGTTGTTTAAAAATGAGGAAAATGGCTTTCTTAATGAAAGTCTCAAAAAACAAGTTCTACCCGCGGCATTCCACTTTCCTCTCCACCCTTCAATACACCTCATCTTCACCCCCACACCTCTGTATCCCCATCTCCACTTCCACTTTCCTCTCCACCTTTCAACCCACCCCCACCATCCAACCTTCATCTCTCATAGTATTTGTTTAGATTATATATAAATAGTTTTAGGGTAGTATTTTTTGCTTATATACCAAACACAAGAAAATAATTAAGAAACCCATTTAGTTTCCTAGAAGTTAGCTTAGATATGGAGAATTGTCCCTGTTTGTATCTGGTGGACAACTTGGAAGGACAGGAATGTTATAGATGTTTAATTCCCAAAAAAAGGAATGCTATCGATGTTTTGATAGCATAGAGAATAGTATGCAAAAGGTTAAGCTAAACTACCTTTTGTTACTATGTTTTTGGTGTAATCAAATCTATTCAAATGATACTCTCTCCATAATTGATGTTCTAGATTCAATTTAGGTAGGAGTTAGCAGGATTTTGAAGTAAAATTTTGTAAATATGGTTTTCAGTACATAGGTATGTACTGTTTGTGAGAAATATATGAAGTTACCCGTTCCAAAGAAAAAAGAGTTAGCTTAGATATAGTATATACTATATACAACAGTTTTTGATTAGTTGATTCAACTAAAGATAAATTTTTCTTTCATAAGTTTAATTAGATCAATTCTATTATGCATACAGCCCCTGATTTACATTTTTTACTTGTTAGAAAGGGCATGTGTTGATAATATTTGGAAAAATCCAAGTCCTAGATTGGTCCCCCCACCCATTTTGATGCATTCTTCTCTTCTGTTGAGGATGGGTTTGTGGTGTATGTGTGTGTGAAGATAATCTTTTGAAAAAAATATACTCCCTCTGTCCAAGTTTATGTGATGTAGTTTTACTTGACACAGAGTTTAAGAAAAGAAAAAATGACTTTTGAAATTTGTGGTCCAAAATAAGTCATAGATATTTGTTGCTATAAATCATTTCATTAAGGTATAATGGACATTTTAAAGTTAAATTGTTATTAAAAATAGAACTGTCTTTCTTTTTGGAACCGATTAAAAAGGAAAGTGAGTCATATAAATTAGTACAGAGGGAGTATTTCTATTTGTTCATTTGGCCTAAAAAGTTACTTTGTGCAGGTTCATGCTCAAACAAAAGATGAAAATAATGTCTGTCCTTTGGTATCAGCTGTAGCAACCGATTCATTGCCTTGCGTGGAGCTGTTAGCAAAGGTCAATAAAATTCTATTTTTTCATTAAGACTGCTCACTGCATATATTCATTAGATTGTTCTACTTTTTCACTTTATGTACTTTAAATTGCTGAATCCAATTGAGTATCCCGAAGAAGTTGTGTTGCAGAAAACATATAGTGCTTTTGTGCTTTTGTTTGATGTATTATACTATTATCATTCTGCACTTTGCTATGTGTTGGAACCATGCGAAATTTGTGCTAAGATTAAATCACAAGAAACTGCTTTGATCATACGAGAGCTATGTGAGACTTGGCTCTATTACACCTTTAAGGTTTTCTTTCCTGAAACTCTCAACTCCTATTCTGCTTTTTTATCCTTTTTAATATTTGTTTGAATAAAGTTAAGGTTAAACATGCTTAAAAGGATAAAACAAGGCCTTGAGAGATACCCCTAGAAAATTAAACAAGTAAAACTGCTAAAGATAAAAGGGGAAAATATTCAATTGTGTACATTCAGTTTATTACCAGCATTAGGTGGTGAAGGGTAAAAGGGGTGGGTTCATTATTCACAGAGTTTCGAACTTTGCGCCACTGGTCCTAGGAAATTTCTCGGTTATAGAAAAAAACTATTACCAGCAAAACTAACATATTTTAACCTCAATTTCACAGGCGAAACAAGCCATTTAAAATATAATGTTACAATATAAAGTTTAGTGACAAACTGTTTGGGACTTAAATTAGACTTCAGCTTTCAGGTTTATCTAAATAGGTAATTCAAACATTTCTTTTCAGTGGATGCTCATCCTTTACAGTTTTATTATCTTGTTTTTCGATTTTGCTTTATGTTCCTTTTGCCTTTCTGTGGAAATGGGTTCCTAAAAGTACTTGAGGAGCAAAGTTTGATCTCCTCTGCTTGTTAAATCTGCAACAGTTGTTAATGGCTCACATCCATGTTGCATTTATTTCAATGATTCTCTTTTAATTCTCTCTTTTTGTTTCTGAGATGTAGGAGAGGCTTTGCTTTAGAGCTTTATGACTGGTTAAGCCCAATATATGAATTTTTTTTATGACCACATAGGTTTATGAATTTTGTGCACCTTACTTGTCGAGGCATAAGCCAAGGCAAGAACCCAACCACCTTTGTCAACATAGTCACACCTTATTAAAATATAAAAAGCGAAAGCATACAATTCAGAGGGAGTTTAGATAGTAGATAAACACATAAAAGACACTCAATATTGCTTAATTAGTTTTGATCCAATAAAATAATGTAATCAATGTCGTAAATAATGTAATTGCAAGATAGGGGTGCTTCCTACTACTTATCTTGGTCTACCACTTGGAGCATCTTATAAGGACCAAACAGTATATAGGTTTCGATGATTGAAAGGGTAGAAATGAGATTTGCTGACTGCAAAAGAGATGCTAAAAATATCATACTATCTTGAAGGAGTGGGAAGAGTTCTTTGGGTATGTATCATTTAGGGTAGGTGATGGGAGTAGGATAGGTTATGGAGATACAACATCTCCGGGAACAAGTAATTGAGTACTACATTTACAAATATGTATATAGTTTCATGCCAAAAGGAGATGTCAATTCAACGAATTCAAAGGGTCCAAGGTTAAGAAATTCATATGGAATAGAGGATTTAGGAGGAACATGCAAGTTTGTGAGGTCATGGAATTTCAGTCTAGTTAAGACACTTCAAAAAAAAGTTCCCCACCAGCTAGCCCGTGATGTATAGAAATGGGGAGTGGAGAATAATGGCATCTTTTTGTGAAGTCCTACTATTAGAAATCTCTAGGTACGGAAGAGTACACTTCTCCAAATATTTGGTGTTCCATTTCACGTGGCTATCTACAACGTTACTTTGGCGGTTGAGAATTTGGGGAAGGAGGATTACATGTGTAGAAGCTTTGCTGAAGATGTGAATCATCTTCTTCACATTATCCGTCTTGCTTGTGGTGGGAAATACTATGTTGGTTTGGTCTTTAATGGGCGTTGTCAGGCATGGTTAGAGAAGTATTGTTTAGTGGATCTTTCAAAGACAAAAGAGATGAAGCACGGCGTTGGATGTTGCTTCCTATCGCTTACGTGGACTGTATGTAGAGAAAGAAATAAGAGCTTTTGATGGAATAGAGAAGAACTTTGTTACGCTTATGGAATAGACTCTTATCCCTTAATGTGTTTTGGTGCACCCACGAGGTCACTATAGGTATAGAAGCTTGGGTGTCATTTATAGAAATCATATCTTTTTTAAGGTTCTGTACTGTTTGATATTCTTCTTGTATATGTATATTTTCTTTCCCATCGCTAATACAATTTATTCTTTGATAAAAAAAGGAATAACAACACTTTGGTCCTAAAATTATTGGTAAATTTTGCTTTTGGTCCTTGTGATATGACTCAGGATATTTAACCTTTAATTTTTGAGAAAATACATAAAACCCCCCTGAACTTGACAGCACAACTTACTTTAGCACTTAAACTATACAGGCGTTTATTTACCCCCCTAATTTCATTTCGCGTGAATTTAATACCATCCTAACGGATGACGTGGCAAAAGAAGAAAAGGAAAATTTGCGTTAAGTTATTTTTAAAAAAAAGTAATGGTCCCACTTTGTGTGTGTCATCCTCTTTCTCCTTCTTCAAACTCTACATTCAAAGTATATTTTCTCGTTAAACACATGAACAAAAAGAATCACATTCAAGACCCACATAATTTTTTTTACTCTTTTCTTTGGAGATTTGATTTTTCTTAAAAAGACTTGAGCATAAAAGAAGATGAGGTTTTGTCAACCGATCTATAATGTTAATGGTTGGCAATGGCGATTGAAGCGATGGTAGAGAAAGGTTTTTTTTTTAAAAAAAAAATCACTACAAATAAATGTGTTTTTCTTGAATTAGTTAAGAATTAGATCTTGATTAGTATATAAAAATAAAAAATGAAGAACACCGATAATCGACAATGGCAGTAAATGACGTTGAGTATTGAAAAAAAATCACTGCTAATGACTTCAATTTTCTTAAACTAATTAAGAACTAAAGATTAACTAGTATTTAAATATTCTGAAAAAGAAAGAAAGAAATGAATTTAAAAAATCAAAAATTCAATTTTTAGAGAATTTCCAATGTGGCTATGGCGTGGCACTGATGTGGTTATGATGTGTCAATGACATGGCGTGTGTATAATACACTTGCCAATTTGGGACTGGTATTATATTTTTAGGGTGGTATTAATTCACTTCAAATATATTAAGGGGGGTATTTAAACGCCCGTATAGTTGAAGTGTTAAAGTAAGTTATGCTGTCAAGTTCAGGTTTTTTTTTAATGTATTTTCTCTTAATTATTCAAGATGTGTGTTTTTGGCCCTTCATGTGAAAATATGTTATATTTGACTATTTACAGAATTACATTACCATCAAGTATGGAGTAACAATTCAAATTTAACATATTACATGAGTAATTAGGTAGTGAAACAATTAATAATTATGTTGAATTTGTGAATATTCACAAGCAAAGGGATTAAAAATTACCCAATTCAATCAATTGAAGATTTAATGTGCTTAGTCAGATATCATAGGGACCAAAATCAGAATTTATCAATAATTGAGTGATTAGAAATGCTATAAACCCTAAAAATGTTCCGAGAAAAGAGAAGTTAATGGAATTGAAAGACGGAGTGTTTGGTTCTACTTGGAAAGAGGAGTCGATGGAGTCTCGACTGTTGGGTGGCCCAGTGGTTTGGTTGTGGGAGTTGGGACTTCCATGTTGAAGGTCGCGAGTTCGAAACCCCTTGCTAGCGAAATCAAGGGGTTTGCCTTCTGGGTCGAGCTCGTCGCACCGGGCTTGCCTAATGCGGGTTACCTCTCATGTGTGGTTTGTGAGCTATTGTATAGGAGCTGATGTTTTACTTTGTGTGCACCCAAAGCGTAGCGGCTGTGGGTTTCCCTTGTCATAAAGGAGACAGATAATATATGATCATGTTGTTCCCAAAGAATTACTGTTTATCAGCTCTTCTTTGATCTTCCTTTTTTATCCTATGATTCCATTTGAAGTTGTGCATGCTCTACTTTTAGACCCTTGAAGATACAGAGTACAACTAGCACGTTTGGTTCTCAATCCAAGATGCTGGAGAAAACATTGCTTCCATATTCAAAGATGGTTTATTGTGTAAAACAATCTTTTCTATCTACTTATCCAAAAAGGAAAAAAGAAAGAAAATTCATGTTCTCCCTGAAAAGCAATTTTTGCATTTGCTACACCAGATTGGAACTGTTGTATGTGGGGCGATCTATTTCACTTATTGGAACTGTCTTTTTCAATTTCTCCACTTTGGTTTGGATTTTGCTATGTTGCTTGATTAAGCATGCCATCTGTCTACTCAAGGCTTAACTTCTTTTATGCTACCATACAGGCAGGGGCTGATGTCAATGTTAGGACTGGTGATGCAACTCCTTTGCTCATTGCTGCTCATAATGGTAGTGTAGGAGTCATTAACTGCTTACTACAAGCTGGAGCTGATCCTAATGCGGCTGAGGAGGTAATTGAAAAGAAAATCTAACGGAATATAATTTTCTTTATTATTTCACATATTTTGGAAGAAATTTCCAAGGACTCCTTTATAATGTTGGAAAGTTGATTCCAAATAATTTTAGTTTTATTTTCGTATCTTCTGTTTGTCAAGCACGTGTCAATTATATGCCTTGTCATCACTTTTGAGTCTACTACCTCTTATTCTCTTTCAGATCCCTTGTAGAATCTAGGTACCTTGGCCATCTTTTCCCGGGGTTTTTTGAAGTTGAAGATATGTTCGTAAACCCGGACTTTTAGAGTGGGAACTTAAAATCTTAGGGTTATGGGTCAATGGTTCATGATTTTGTTGAGAAAAATAATTCTATTTTGACTTCATAAGCATATCACAATTTTTTGTTAATATTTCTGAAATAAATAATTTTCAATAATATACACCATAAATTTGTTGTATTTTAAAAACAATCCTTATTGAGTTAATTCAATACTTTCACATTCTCCAATGTAGTATCTTTTCATAGAATATGGATCAAATCTAAGTTGCTTGGACTCTTCACTTTTGGTTCCGCACCCGTGTCGACACAACATGGGTGTGGGATCCGTGTCCGATTTGGTCAACTGATTTTGGGTACTTTGACCAAAACCGATGGGGAAAGTCGGGACAGTTTTAATGATTTCTATAATCAATACAAAAGTTGAGGTGAAATTGAAGAAAATGGAATACCTTTTATATAAAAATTTCTATGCCACTCCGTTTCCTTTAATCTCCTTCCAGGATTCTCCTCAAGTTCTCTACATAATATCTCATAATTTAGGTTTTATAACTCTATTTTTAGATATTTTAATTAATTTTTAGGCGAATCCCCGCACCCGTATCCATATCTCCGAATCTTAAAAATTAGATAACTAACTTATATACTAATGTGGTGTCCAGGTTACACCATGCTCCTTACTGTCATTTTGTTACGTAGTAATGAAATCTCTCTTTTTACGACCAAAAAAACCTATATCTACCAAGGTGTAAGCTTGTTACCCCGCTCACTGTGCTCACATCCACACACGCAAAAAAAAAAAAAAAAAGAGGAGAGGGAAAAGAAAAGACATGAATCTTATAATACGGACTGTAATCTGTTTTGCGTCTAAAGGTGAAAATCCTTTCTGCTCCATTGTTGAGCATTAATGAAGACTACTGCTGCGATCCTCACCATTTTGGAGATGAAAAGCTCTAGAGAGAGATATCTGGGACAAATAAGAAATACCTGGCTGAAAAGGGGAATGTCAGTCATAGAACATATAAAACCAAGATTAGGGTTAGGTATTTTACTAATTGTGGTTTCTTAATGATCTTTTATAAGAAATTGTAAACCTGGTCATTTTGTTGTATAACAGTCAATCCGATGGGTTTTCTGGTCCTACTGGTGGATTCTCCTGTTCTGACAGGTTTTCAGGTAAACTGTGACCTGTTTCTTTTGGGTTGACAAATCAACTGGTCTAATCTGGGGTTCAGAACATTTAACTGAAGAAAGTGTAGGGGAGTGCTTAGCTTTGCTGGATCAGACATGGTACCATGCATTCACTATTAGCAGAACTAAGATTTAGTACTATAAGTGCATTATGTAATGTGTCTGCGTAACTTTCTTTCAGCTTACCGTTTGCTGAAGGCTGATGCTCAATTGTGTCGTGCTTTCTGGATCATCATTCATTATGGTGAAAACCGACATCTTTACATAAAGAGTTGATGTATTATGTGTGATACCACTATAGATGTGACTTGAAGTGGCCTGGGAGTTTTCTTTTTGTCCTTGTCTACTGTATCTTTAACTTAGTATATGTGATCCATTCTGATCTAATTCAACGACTCAGTGTCTGTACTTAACATATACTCGTATGGATTCTCCCTGGTATTCTGAACTTTCTTCTGGGTGAACACAGAACTTCAATCATGAACTTTGTTAATTTCTGAACAAGTCGCTGGAAAAAAATCTATTAGTAATTTCAGCAAGGACTGTTAATTGATACCGAAGTATTACTTTTGCTATTATTTCTACAGGATGGTACCAAGCCAATACAAGTTGCAGCTGCAAGCGGCAGTAGGGAAGCTGTTGAAGCTTTATTGCCCGTCACAGAACGGATTCAGAGTGTTCCAGAATGGAGTGTGGATGGAGTGATTGAGTTTGTGCAATCTGAATATAAGAGAGAACAGGTACTTAATTTGTGTTTCTGTAAGATAAATTGCTGCTGATTTTGGTCTTCTGTCAGTTGCTTGCAAATATTGGAATTAGCTCGGTGATTATTTCCTTCCATTCTCATGCAAATTTCAGCTTCTTTTTTATTTGTCTAAACTGTGATGATACCAGGAAAGAGCAGAAGCTGGGAGGAAAGCAAACAAGTCAAGAGAGCCTATTATTCCAAAGAAAGATTTACCCGAGGTCTGTTATTAGTGGTCACTATTGTCTTTTTTTGTGTGAACTTTGGGTCATTCCGTTATCATGAAAAGTATTGACTACCTCCTTCTGTTGTTTCTTTTTTTACATTTGCCTTTTTGTATAATGTCAATAAGTGGGAACCAAAGCAAGCCATTTCTGAAAATGGAAGAAAGTGAGCATATAAGTTTCTCGTGTGTATGTTATCTTTCAATCTTGATTTCTTCTGGTGAAGCACTCTTGAAGACAGACTTAAAATACTTTCATCGTGAATATGACAATACATCCAATTTAGGCAACAAATGGAATTTGATTGTGCGAGTATATGTAGTAAAAAACATAATAAATACTGCATTTGGGGGCATGAAATTAATGTCTTCAATAAGTCCAATGAACAATGTTGTGGGAACAGTTCAATGTTTGCTTATGGTTCTGACCCAGTTAAACACTTCCTAGGGCTTCAAAATGCATAAAGTTTCTCTTCTAGTCAGTGAAGTCATAACAGTGACGTGGTTCCAGACTTCCGTTTCAGCTGGCTTCAAATTGCACAGAGGATCAATATCTTTTTATACTGTGTTTTACTTATGTCTCTCTTTCATTTGAAGAACCTCAGCATGGTCAACATCTTGTGTTGGAGAACCAGTTTACAGAACAGTGCTAAATATCTTTCATCAGCATAATTAATTGGTTTATAGGTGAGTCCTGAAGCAAAGAAGAGAGCTGCAGATGCAAAGGCGAGGGGAGACGAGGCATTTAAGGGGAATGATTTTGCTACAGCTATAGATGCTTACACACAGGTACCTATTAGTCTTATTGAATTCCTCCTGAATTCCCAGATCTACCCCTTCCTCAGTAAAATACTTGCAAAAGGGAAAAAGAAAGAAGATAATGATGAGAGGAAGTAATTATCTTCTTCATGGTGCAAGTATATGGATTAAAGACTAATTATGAGTGTGGATGCATCACTTACGAGGCTCACTTGTGTTTGCTAATAATCTGCAGGCAATCGATTTTGATCCAACTGATGGCACTCTGTTTTCCAATAGAAGTCTTTGTTGGCTCCGCCTGGGTCAAGCTGAACGTGCCTTAAGTGATGCCAGGGCCTGCAGAGAACTTAGACCAGATTGGGCAAAAGGTTGTTATCGGGAAGGTGCAGCTCTACGTCTATTGCAGGCATGCCCTTCTTCTCCTGGAGTCAAATTTTGCTAACTTATATTCCTATATTTTCTGATATTCTATTATTTCATTTTCAGAGGTTTGAAGAGGCAGCCAATGCTTTCTATGAGGGTGTACAGATCAACCCTGATAATATGGAGCTCGTAACTGCTTTCAGGTATGCATGTTGAGACTTGAAGCTCTTCATTTAGCAAATGCAGTAGTTTCTATATCCAAGTTTTTCTCATTGTCGTGTGGTACTAATATGATTGCAGGGAAGCTGTTGAGGCTGGTAGAAAAGTTCATGCCACAAACAAGTTTAATTCGCCGTCATCCTTGAGTTAGAAAGCGCATAATGAGAGAGAACAAATGGTCGCTTCTTTTATCTGGGCGATAGTTTTTTCACTGGAGCAAGTTGATTATGGGGCATGCCTTTTTTGAGTAGTTCCAAATGGATTATTTAATCTTTTGTTCTGTTGCATCTTCAGCAATTTATAGACCAACAACATGATATAAATACTTTTAAGCTTTCTTATGTGTTAATCCTGCAAATCTCAAGTTTTCACTTGTGAGTAATTTCAAAGTCATTATTTTTATTCTGTTTAGGGCTTGTTTGGAAAGCCACCTGGTAATTGAAATTGGTGTTATTAACACTGACCTATTTGTTTGCCTTAGTGTAATTACGCTGTAACTAAACATATACTATTTGGTTGCACAAGTGTAAAAGATTAATCACAAGGTTATATTGAATTTGAAAATAAAAATTATTTATTTAAAAATACAAATTTATATTAGACAAATAATTAGGTCCTTTATAAATGATATTTAAGATATATAGCCTTTTGAAAATATATTAATTATGTTTATGTTCTTGACTAATATTATAAAAAAGAATTGATTTATATTTTTTAATCTAGTATATTCTAATTAAATTAATCATAAACACTAAAGTATGGAATTTCAATAAACATCTTTAAATGCATGTTTGACAAACAAATTAATATTATAAATTTTGACAAAAAAATTATCTATGAAGTCTAACTTTAAAAAAATAGCTTTCAATGTAAAATATTGAGTCAATACTCCTAAAACAAATGAAATTGAAATTATAATGTAAGTTCTAAATTCAAAATAAAAAAGTTAACATAATACTCTTATGTCAATTATACCCTGCAACTAAACAGAACCGTCAGTGTAATTACACCATTAGTCTTTAACTGGAGGATGGTGCTTGGGTTTTACAAACTATAAAAGGAACAACGGTAAGGTTCAGCTTCCTTTGTTTCTCTCTCTCTAGGTATAGGAAACTATCCATTAATCATATATATATATATATAAAAGAGAACCTTAGGTCCGCCTACGTGGCGTAACCACAAATTAAAATTCTCTGTTAATTTATTTATTTTTAAAACTAGCCTTCCTCTTTCATGAAAAGTTGTGATTTTTATGAAACATTGTGATTTTAATGAAAAGTTGCGACTTTAATGAAGAGTTGCGACTTTTATGAAAAGTTGTAACTTTTATGAAGAGTTGTGACTTTTATGAAAAGTTGCGACTTTAATGAAGAGTTGTGACTTTTATGAAAGGTCATGACCTTTTCGAAGGGTTGCAACATTTCCAAATAGTTGTAACATTTCTGATAAGGCACAATAAATATTTATTCACACTACTCTTTGTTGTCTATAAATAGAGGGATTTCCTCTCATTTTAAAACAACGAAAATTCTGAACCTCCTCCTCCTCTTCTTCTTCACAATTAAATATTTGGGTACTTTGTTCTTGTTGAGTGGCTCATTGACACCATTACTTATGTTACAGATCATGGTATGTATTTTTACAATCATTAATTTATGCTTATGTTATTAAGGATAAATGATAAGATGTAATAATTTTCATTTTTCTTTACATTATTAATGTTTGTTACTAGGTAATCTTGTACATAAGATAATATAGTGTTTTAATTTTAATGTCCGATAGGTTTTAAGTATTATTTTATAAATTTCGTGATATTAAATTTCCGCGCGAAGAGCGGATAATTTTACTAGTTAAATAATAAGTAATCTGATTATTATATAAATATTTGCGTGCATAAATTTTTTGCTCAGCAAAAAGTTGGACAATTTAGATCGTTTGAATATGATTTGAAATCAGATGGATAAAATTGAAGTTTTGTTTGAATATGTAATATGAATTTCTTAAATTATATTTTCTTTATTGTAAAATTTTAGAAGTCGTGAAAATTTTAAAAAGAAATAATCAAATTTTTATATTATCTTACGAAATTGACAAACTATAATTCATAAACAAAATATCATAATATGTTGTGACAAAATTATACCCAATATTTTACGCGAATAAGAGGATATGTGTTTTAAGGCTTAAGCTTGCTGATTAATTGTGTATGTGTTGTTCTATTGTTAATTATGTTACATAATTAAATGCAAAGTCCTAGAAAATAATTTTTAAAATAAGAAAGAATTGATTGAATGCAAAGTCCTAAATTGATTAACGTGAAAGATACTGTAGTGATTACATAATGAACTAATGTTTTGAAATACCCTGATCCAAGGATGAGAGATTAGATTAAAATAATAATAATTATATCAATGAAAATAATAATTTATAATAACTCTATCAGAAATTATTATTTTTTTACAATAATTATACTTATCCATATATTTCTCATGTAATTATCTATTCGGTTACATATAACTGCACAATTGCACTACATTTTCTTTCTCATTCTTCCAATTAAGAGTATTCATGCTTTTAATATAATTAATTTATGTGAACATGAGTTGCACGTTAATATCGAGTCAATTAGCAAGTAAAAGATGATCTATAAGGTATCAGAATTATAATTAGATACTAATTTAAAGTACAATTGTGAAATTAATAGAATTTGATATTTCAGATTCTATTTAAATGTTGTAAACAATTTAATTGCACTCATATCAAAATGGATGAAAATATCATCACTGAAGTTTTAGAGAGATAGAATCAACTATGAGCCAGTAGATAAATCACATAAATGAGAAAACAATATCAATAAAATGAGACATACATCATACATGAAATTACTGGTATTGATACAGTTTTTTTTTTGGAAATTGAAACTATTAAAACTGATAGAAATATTTTTTTTTTGAATTAAAACTACTGAAATTGATAAGTTTTTAACCAAGTATTATTGGATTTTCACTCTTTGTACCCTCCACATCTTCAGGAATCAATTCAGCTGGAAAATCACCTCTGAGAATCTGAACTCTGAATTCAATTTTGCTAGTGCTGCACTCTGACAGTTCAAACACAAGTCCATCTCCTTCCTTCAAATTGTTACCATCCACAAATTTTCTCCATCCAGTGCTAATAAATTTATAAGTAGATCTGGCTCCACCGTAATACAAATTCCACTTCTTTCGACCACAAGTAAGAACTACAGGGACTCCAGCAGAAGGAAGCTCTTTGTTCATTTTCTTGGGTAAGTACTGTCAAACATTCAAAGAAATTCAGTAATATAAAAATCACGAGTCCAGAAGAACACAAAGCTTCCAACTATATATATATATATATTAAAACCTAAACTTTAAGCCTAAAACTTATGACATCTAATCTTAAAATTCAACACTGTAAATAATATTTTTTTGTGTTTTTTCACTTGGTATCCGATACCGAGGAAATGAGATCTCTATAACTTGAAAAAAAATTATTTACAAAAATTAACCTTTTTAAATCTTTTATGTTTAAAAAATAAAGATCTCTTATGTATGAAATTGAGAATCTTTCGTAAAAAAGACATACAACTAATTTTTTTTGTAAAGGGCTAGAGAATCATTTCTCTATTCAATACCCATATTCCCAATAAATTGGATCCACCTCAAAAAGTCCACATTGGTGTAAAAAGTTTACAAAGACAACATACTCATTACGAGAACTCTAATTAAGGATGATCGTCACTACTACAAAGAATCATCTTTAAGAAAATATTGAAAATGGAATGATTTATATAGAATGTGGAGGGGAAAATGAGAGTTACCAAACTATAGGTAGGTTTGACGGCGCTCTTAGTGAGAATTATATCAACATACGGTTTTCCAGAAAGTGGCCAATATTCATCATTATCAATTTCCGAGCTACCAATGCTTTCCATCATGATGGATTTACCTTTCTGGTTTGAAACACATTAAAAAATCAAAGAAGAATATAAGTTTTTAAATTATCACGGGGTGTCAAAAATCAGAATAAAGAAAAACAGAAAAATAGAAATTTGTTAAGAATGGTTGAAATGTACATTCATGTCGATTGATTAGATGATTGGAGTTCTTGTTATGGTTTGATTTTGTGTACAAAGAGTACACAAAAATTCTAGAACTGTCAAGAGTGGCTAGTTTGAGTTTTGGGAGTAGGAGGTAGGGTTCCTAGTATTTTCGAAAAACAACTCAAGTACTTTTTTTTTGTTAAACACCTATTCCTATTTACTTCTTTATATAATATTATGCACCGTTACATATAGAGGTGGTCGCATTACTACTAGCACGAAATTATTCAAGCCTAAAAAATTATAGACTCAAATTTTATAACGACTTATTAAAACTGGTAAAAATAATTATTTCTTTGTCTTCTTTTAAAGTTTTAACATAAATAACATGGGCTTCTGTTTGTTTGCTTTTGGAGTTTTAAAACAAATAACGTGAGATTTTGCATGTTTACATAGTTTTTAACACAAATAACATGAATTTTACTTATTTTTAGTTTTTAACACAAATAATGTGGGTCTCTTGAGTTTCAAACACTGATAACGTGGGATCTCTTTGGCTACTTTCGATGTTTTAACACAAATAACGTGGGGTCCATATCTTTTTCTGAAGTTTTTAACGCAAATAACGTGACCCTTTGCTTGCTTTCGAAGATTTTAACACAGTTAATGTGGGGTGGGGATGGGATGGGAGAAAATAGGCAATCATACTTATTTTGCCCTTCTCATTTTTGTTTTTAATTTTAAATAAAGAATTTTTTTTTTTTTTTTTTTTTTTTTTGTGGTTGGTGGGGTGGGGATAGGATGGGAGAAGATATTTTTAAATATAGAATTTTAAAAATGGGATTTTGAACAAGGAAAAATAACACTTTTTCTTTTAATAAGAATTACCAAATTCGAAGAAAGTTACTTCAATATTTCCATTTTAAAGCAATTAAACAGTAGAAAACTCATGAAAAGTCATTGAATTTTTGAAAAACAAATTTTTGCTATCTTATCACAAAATGCTTGAATCATACAATTTGAGATTTGATCATAAACACATATATTTAGTAAAATCATTGAATTTTATTTTTTTTATCATCTAACTAACTTACTTCTAAAACTTTCTAGATGGACTCAACCCCTATGTCGAGTTCCACTAAGACGAATATATGTAATACAAATAGAGCATAGCTTATAAGGGATCCCACATGTATTGAGTTAGATTATCAGTGGTCTGAACCTGTCCAATTTGATAGTGTCACATCAAGTTATAACTGATTACCCAAACTAATTAAAACTCCCAATTATTATTTTTTGAAAAGTCAATTTGCAATTTTTTCGATCACTGCCCAACATTCGATCAATCGATCATATATTCAAAGTTTTGCCTTTATTT